GCAGATGCTCTCATGGATGTATCTTCATGAGGGCACCATCCTTACTTCTACAGCAGCTGAAATCAGGGAGGCCTTGTTAAACACCTTTGTTCCTCAAGTGTTTTGCTTGCCTTCTTTCACTGTGTGTGGAAGCTGCTAGAGGCAGTGAACTTTCCTATTTTCCTTACGAGCCCAGCCTTGGCTATCTGATGCCTCTCTATCACCTGCAAAGCTATGTCACTTCCAGCTTCTTTAAAGAAATTTGCCCATTTTGTGTTTTCCCCTCAACAGGCTCTCTGCCTCCACGAAGCTATCAAGAACTCTGCCTACATGGGGCAAGTTAATATTTCCCCCCCCCCCTTGTCCTCAGAGCCCTCCCCATGTCTGTTGCCATTGCTGTCCAGCAGCAGACTCTGGGCTGAATAAGAAAAGACTACATGGGGACTGGAACATCACTCCAGAGAGATTTTATCCAAGTTGCTGACAACTGCAGTTTGCTAACCCAACTGACCTTGTGCTCCCTTTAAATATCACAGAATCACAGAATCTTAGGGATTGGAAGGGACCTCAAAAGATCACCCAGTCCAACCCCTCTGACAGAGCAGGAATATGGGTTGTTCCTCCTCCATCCCAGCCTACCATGCCTTTCCTGGCCAGTGGATATGCATATTGCCCATCATCTGCTGTGGCTCTCATACTGGGAGATCCAGCGTCTCCAGCAGCAGCTCTCCCCTTTGTCCTCCAGGAGTGGTCATCTCACAGAAGCCAGAAGGTGTTGACTACCCACCACCACCTCTGTTAGACCATTCCCAGGCTGATCTTTCCCAAGCATGGCTTTTCTGTCCCATTCCCCTTCAGAGCATCAGCTTGCCCCCAGATCCATGGGGCAGGAGAGGAACAGGGTTGGGAATGTGGTGACAGGCAGTCTGGCTGGCTATGGGTCTGCTGGGGTCCCTCTACAGAAAAAAAAACAACAAATAAAACAGTTCCTGGGGAAAAAAAAATAAAATCACTAAAATTTGATATTTCTGAGGGATGGGGGGTGTGGCCAGGAGCTGCTCTGGGGCTTTGCCCCACAAATCAGATAAAAAAGCAGATTTTCTCCCAAAAATAAAAACAGAAGAGGAAACAGCCTGTAAAAAGGTAGGATGCCTTCCTATGGGGTCTACACATCTCCCTCATTCCAGAGGCCCCTCTCTCCCCCAGGGACCACCAGATTAGCACTGAGTCTGTATTTAAGGAGAAAAAAACCCAGAGGATTTCCTTTCCAAGGTGCAAAATCCTGATGCTTTGTGGAAGCCAAGGGGGCATGCATGTGTGTGATCCACAACTGGATGTCACTGTTAGTCAAAGCTTTTTATTTTTATGAAAAAATAGAAATTCTCTTATCTTACACTACAAAAAAAAACCCCATGTACACAAACAAAATGCACAGAGAGCATTCAAGGATGTGGAGGAAAAAGGAAGGAATAAGTAGAGCAGTGCTACAGTCTCCTATGAGTTGAAATGCCAATGCAAGTAGTTGAGATGGATGCTGCAGGTCTGGCAGCACTGGAGGCAGCAGGTCCTGTACTACCTGCTCTAAGGAATTACAATAAAGGATTGGGAACTGTTAACTCTTAAGACTGCTACTGATGTATCTTACACACACCTTAATGACTAATTTCAAGACCACAGTAGTCCAAGGAGTTTACCACTGGGACTTCTAAATTATATTCCACACTGAATAGACAAAAAGAGATTTTACTTTCATTTTTTGTTCTTCTTGCCATTAACATATGGAAGAAATAAATAAACTTTTAAACTGATTTTTTTTTTCCTTTAAGCCAGTCTGCCTTGTTTATGCTCAGCTAATTTTTCCAAGTGGTAGCTACTCCATGAAATGTGGTCAGTCTACACAAGCCATGCTTGGGGGCGCTTCCTTCTTCCAGCATGAAAAACTATCTTGAAAAGAGCCTTTTCACCTCTTAGACCCTTTGAATTACCTTCCTTGCAATTAGCAGCAAAATATACTGGGGAAAAAGCACCATTACATTCATTGCACCAGCTGGACCAGCGAAGTGCTCAGACTTGCTGTAGGCAGGAACCTCCCCTACAGCCCTCACAAAAAAGCATCCCAATATATATGTTCATGACTAAAATACAGACAACTCATAGATTTTGGATGGGAACCAAAAGCCCCTGGGAAAAACCTCTGGAACTTGCTTATGGATATAGAAGCTGTAACATTTGGACCTACTTGTTAAAACACCATTTTATTTTATGCTCCAAGACAAAGCTTATTATACACAGACCTGTAGTACGAACAGCTCTTGAAATAAATAGAAAAGTTTATTTATTTATTTATTGGAGGAACTGAGAAGAGGTGCCCTATTTACAAATGCAGTCTGACTTTAAGAACACCTTGTTTTCCACTAGTTCATAATTTTGAAGTTTACTCCAGCATCTGGTACACATACCAGCCATACTGCACAAGCCTTTCAAACCCCACAAATGGTGTAAAGAGGATTATGCTGTTAGAAGTCCATGAAAAAAGACCAAACCAAACTCCTCCCATGGAGGCAACAGGTAAGGAAGAAGCAGAGATGATGGGCAGAAAGTGCTGTGTATTTGCTAATAACTTGTCTCTCAGGCTGGCTGGTGGATGTGGTTGGCAACCGAAAGATTCCTCCCGACGAAATGAGTTGTTTCTGTCTTCCTATGGGTTGTTTCCCCAAGTGCTGCAGGCAGGGAGGCACAAATAATCACAAGACTGTTCTGCTGACAGCTCTAATAATCTTATTTATTATATGAGAAGTCTTATTTTCTGCACCAAAATTAGCATGTTCTGATTCCTCTCTTCTCTTTTGTGGTCTGGTGGCTGCCAAAATGAAACTGTATGGGAAATCACACCATCAAGATTTGTCAGGAATTGCTGCAGCTCCTCTCTGTTTCCTGATTCCCAAGGAGCTTGGCAGCATCTCAAAGAGGAGGTGGCCATTTTAGAACAGGCAAGAATTGTCTGAAGAAGCCCTGCTGCTAAGAAAAAAAATGAACCACCCAACCCTCTCCACATAGACTTTTTTCTTTATAAACCATTTTTTGTATCAGATCTCACCCAAAGGCTAGGGGGAAATGGAAAAAAGACCTTTGAAACAGCTGAAGGTGGCATTCAACACATGCTGCTGCAAGATATAAAGGACACAGGCCTCCTCTTGGCACTGAATGAGCTCCTTAGGCTCATCTCTCCAGCACTGGGGATGAAGGGAGCTGCAACAAGTCAGTATGTCCATGTTCTCATCAAGGAAGGATGCTACAAGATGCTACCCAACCTCTAAGGAAGTGATACCTCTACAGAAACAGCAAACACTTGTCATCCACTGAGCCTTTTAAAAATCCTTATCTTAACCAAAACTTTCACAAAAAAATCCCAACCTATGACTACCAAATTAACTTTGCTGATTAATCCTATCTGCAACAAAAAGAGGAGGACAGCCCAAACCTGTTTCTTGGTGGGATTCCCAGGGGATCAGGTTGCCCTCAAGTCCCTCAGAAAACACCAGCCATGAGCTTATATGGACACATTGAACCCCAGTTGCAACTAAGTGCAGACCTGAGCAGTGCCAGCCCCATGTGGATGGGGCCCTCTCAGCCATGGGGTGCCAATGCTGTGACCACATTGGGCTGCTCTGCTCTTCTCTCCTCTCCACACTCTGCCTCAAAGTAGCCAAGTCCATACCCAAACTGAGAACGTCCAGAGAGACAATCTGTGACAACACAGTTCCTAAAATAATCCTGCCACCACTCTGAAGGATATACTACAAAATCTCCATGCTGGATGACCATGGGCTTGCCTCCACACCACACCCCAGGACTTAATCCCCACAATGAGAAGAGGAACCACAAAACCCCTTCCTTCCAGCTACAAACACCTCGTGGTTTCTCCCTGGGCTCAAAGCACAAGGGCAAGGGCTGCACTGGGAGATGGCTACCAGGCTGAAATGCTGGTGCAGAGGCAATCCCACACTGTCTTTGGGCAGGACTCAAACACACAAAAATTGATGCCATATTGTTGCTGGAGGCCACTGAGAACTAAATATTTAACTTTCTTCTTCTGGACATCCCCAGCCTGTGGTGGACAGGAAGAGGGGGTGACATATTTAAGTAGACTCCTACTTCATATATGTAATCAGAACTCCTGAAGGCTTTGTATGTTGCCCTAACCAAACAGCAGCAAAAATATAAAGCATAGCATAACACAAAAAAGGGGAGACAAACCAAAGCAAAACAGGTGGGAAAAAAAAAGAACAAACCAAGGAAAGAGCCCAAATCTTGTACCTGATGTGTAGCAAACTGTACAGTATATACATCTTAGTCATGTATTATCCTCCCAGAAGAGCAAACAAAAAGAACTTGGTAACACAGTGGGAGGGGAAAAAAATACACCCTGTATTGTTTTTGCCATGGAGCAAGCAACATATTTATACACTAGTCTCTATAACTTAATGCTGTGTAACAGCATTTTTTTTTTCCTTTAAATTTACAAAACAAAATATCTATCAAGAAATAATCTAATCATATTGCTCTTCAATACACCTCTGTAGACAAGTAAGACTCGAAGTTAAACTTCAGTAAACCGCAGCTTTTGGGAGCCCACAAACAGCTACAAAACTCCTTTACTCAAGTCAGTCCTTGGAAGTATTACCATGTGCTGCTGGAATTCAGTATATAAAGGTGCTATATATATATACATGTGTACGTATATATATATATCTATCTCCCATGTACAGCCAATGTGTGGTAAAAAGGCTTGTTGTCGTCATCGCTGAAGCTTAAGAGATGGGTTAACCTCACGTACAGCAGATTCGTTTCCATGTTCCATGCATCTTACATTTACTTCATGAAAATGAGGACACAAAGAGGAAGAAAAGGAAAACTTCAGTCAAACACTGCATTGGAAATGCTGCAGCAGAGGCCAGCGTCCTTCAGTTATAGAAACCATCGAATTTCCCTTTTTATCTTTTTTTTTCTTTTCTTTTTTCTTAGTCAAAATAAATCTCAGGGCTAGTGTACAAAGTGCAGGACCGACCCACTTGAGGAAGCGACTTTAAAACCGAGTTACAATGGCACCATCCCATTCACCAACTGGACCTTCATCTCTTGAAGGCTGTTCATTATCTTCTTCTGGTGACCAACAAGTGTCACTCCCAGCCGCCTCAAATCCCTGTGGGAGAAAGCAGACGTTGGTTCCAGGGACCTCTCAGGCACACGCCCCCGCACACACCACGTGCCACTCATGCCAATGCTGCTGCCAGCACCTGCCTCTTACCATTGATGGCACCCAAAGCCAGGCTTAGTTGGCCAGTTTTTTTCCCCATTTCATAAATAAATAAATACATAAATAAATAAATAACAGCTGGCAGCATCTGAGAGAGCTGAGATGATTTGACCAAGATCACCTCACTAGCCAAGGAGAAAAGCTGGACAGCAAAGTGTCAGCATTGCTTTTGGCCAAGGACTCTATTAGGTGTGAAAAGTCCTATTTCCAAGAGAAAAGCCATGTAAGAAAGCCTCTGTTGCAGTTTTCTCTTCTCCTGGGAGAGGCTGGTATTTGATCTCAGATACAAGCAGTGAGGACTGATGTCAATCCATGCTTCTTTCCTCTTCAGATGAGGCAAAGCCAAAGATGGACAAACCACAATCCTAGAGCCAATTGCTTAATGGCAAAAGTCTTGAGCATGGCCACCACCCCTATGACTCCCTAAAGTCAACAGCAATTGGCAATGCAGCTTCCTTCTGGGTCTTTGCAAATCTTCCCATAAACTCAACTTTGATTTTTTGGGGGCTGAACTCTAAAAGGCAAAGGCATTTGCATTCAATCTGTCTACTGGGCTGCCAGGACATGAAAGCTGTAGAATAAGATAGTTTATGTAAAATGCAGGAGGAGAAGGAAAGATAGTTTTCTCAGAAGCTCATACCTCTAAAATGTAGGTGTACAGATGCAGGTAATCACCAAGGTTCACCCTGAAGTTGTGAAAGTGGCACCTCCGGGGGACAATTTATCCCACCGAAAGACAGAAGTGGGACAAGTCATTCCCTGGAGATATTACAGCAGGACCTTAGGTGATCAGATTCAATGACACATCTAAAGCCAGGTACGGCTGTGGTTATGGCAGAGTATAGTTGCAGGGTTTCTTTACATGGGAAAAAGTATTAACAGAGAAACTGTAGAAATAAAAGCTTGGAAGAGCCATCAAGGCAGGCATATCTGTGTTTACAAGACAAGACATGGAGACTATTAGAGTAGCAGTTTGACTTAGAGGAGATGTAGTGTTTTGTCTGGAGACTTCCAGTAGAGAAAGATCAGCCCCTTGCTTTCTATCTCCAGTCTGGACTAAATAAAGGATGTTGTCAAAGTAGTGCTCCACAGTCTTGCCAATACGTGTGTGAATCCCAGAGCTGCTGACACCCTGTGTACAAGTCTTTTAGGATAAAGGTCTCCACTGAAAGCCAGCAGGACGTTACTTCCTTGAACACGTAGATGCTTTTTGGTGGAACTGGTATATGTAAGGGCTGGGGATCACCAGCAACACGCAGAAGTCAAATAATCACCTGAGACACACTGCACATGTGCCCTACGGCTCACAGCATGGATACATGCTGAATTGCAGGTCAACACATGCAGTGACCACCAAAGTGCTTTCACGTAACCTTGGGTGAGCTACCCATGGGAGTGTACCTCTCTCAGCAGCTTCACATTCTGGACAGACTCCTGTATGAGTACAACCAACCATCTATGTCCAAAACTTACACAAATAAAGATTGCTTTGAATAAAAAACAACCCTGAGTGAAGGCTAATACATTAGAACATGAGCTGGTTGAAGCCACAAGCTAGATCTGTTGTTCTCCAAGGATTGTCACACATTCAGACTTTCAATTTGGAAAATACCAGATTTTCTGCTCTGTACTGAGCACTTCATTTCATGATCATTCTCTATTTTGGCAACGTATCACGCCGATGCGTGGGGGAAATCACAATGTAAAGGGCATGGAACAAGGGTGGTCAATGAGCCACAACAGGAATGCTCCTCACCTGGCAGAGAAAAGGCTGCAGCACCCAAAAAAGGTGTCTACCTTCTCAAGGGGACATGCCTTCATTTCTGCCTCCATTGAATTGTGAAACTGGTTCAGCAAGCCATCTTAATAATGAAGGGAAATGTTGTAATGCTGTTGTTACATGCAATTTATTTTATGTACACAGCACAGTTGGAAGCTCACACCAAAGATAAAAAAAAAAATCCCAAAAAACAACCTAGTATAGGACCTGATTTTTAAAAGAGCCATAATTCATCTTCCCCTGCTGTGTGTTGCTCTGCTGGTCCTTTTTTGAAAATTCAGTTTGCTTTTTTTTCCTGGTATCTAAAGTGCAAGCTGAGCTCTTTTGAAAACCCAGCACCACATATTACATAGGTGTATCATTTCTGATACTCTTACATGTTATGCAGGAAAAAAATTGCCTGAAACTATGAGAAAGGCAAGTATGTCTTGGCATTTCACATTCAGCTCTGCCAGTTTAATAAAAAGAACCCTACTCACTATACAGGTTTGGTTTTTTTTCTCCTCACAGTATCCCGTTAACTCAATATCCTTGAGGAGTGTCTCATTGATTTACAAGAGAGACAGAACAAAAAGGAGTTTCTGGTTTCAATCAATTAGCTGCTCACCAAGGGTATCCAGTCAGTTTTTTTGAATATCAAATCCTCTTGAATGTGGAGTCACTGGTCAAAAATGTGAGGACTCCTCAGAAAGGGGAAAAAGCTACCGTGCGGTCTTGCACCTCTGCAAAGATGGACCAGAAGACAACAGCTTCTGAGCTAGATGCTTGCCTAAGTATAAAATGAGCAGTTTTTTTTCAAAAGCCACTTTAAGTGTTGTAAAGGCAGCAACAAAACTTTGAAAAAACCACCTAGAGAATGCATGAGCTTTAATTCCCATTTTCCAGGCGTGATTTAGAGCCCATTGCACACTCCCATGCATCCAGTGCTGAAGGTCTTAAGAGAAGTGTAAGGCAGAAGGCCATTTGAAACAAAATTGGCTGCACAAACCAGCTGGTTTTGGGACAAAAAAATATTAACTTCTGTGCCAAAAGACTGCAAAACAACAGTTCTCAAGCTCCAATCCAGAGCTGCCTGGCTCATGTGAATGCAGCCAACTGGCAATTTCACTGGGCTCAGATCCACAGAAATGTCTGTGGTTATCTACTGGGGCTTTGCAATAGAAATGTGCAAGAAACTGCATAACTAAGAGCCTGGGGGTGCAAAAAACACTTGTGAGCAGGATCCAGGCTGCATCTTGCTGTGCACTCCAGTGTTGGGTTTTGTGCTCACTGCTGTGGCAGTGGCACAGGTGCTCCCCGAGGCCATGGAGATGTGTGTGCCCGTGTGCTGTGGGGTCTCCCGCTTTCAAAAGACCTGATCTGCCCCAGCAGTTTTTACTCTTTCTTTCAGGGAGAAGTCTCTTTTAGCTTTCATTCACATAAGGCTGAAAACGGAAACAGGCAGGAATTCAAATCACTTGCCAACACAGTAGTCAGAGGCCAACCTCAGCTGACCAGAAAGCCAAGGAAATAAAGAGAAAAATTGGTGTTGGCTCACCCCAAACAGCTTGTGTAGAGCTGCATGCATGCTGGACTCTTCCCACCACCTTGCACGAAAGCCCAGCTGCAACATGCCACAGACAACACACTATGCCCCTTCCCTGCAGTATCCTCCATTTGGAAGGGTTGAATTCACAATCTCCACGTTTTAAGAAATATATTTAAAACATTTTATTTACAAACAGAACTACTTATACACCATGGACCAGTTTGTCAAACACAGTGTAGACTAGGACTGGATTGCCACATAAAATACAACCCCCCTCACCAGCTGGTTAGTCATGCAAGCAAAAGGGCCAGCTTCCTGAAAGATCTCTGTGGTTATCAGCCATCAATCTACCACAGATAGTTTGCATTTCACCTCCTATCCATGCCAGATTTCACCACTCTTCCTCACGTGGTGTAACTCTGTAATTGCCTGTGCAGACTGGAACTACTCATGGATTTAGCCAGTTGTCAGTTCAAATGAGGGGAAAGAAGAACTTCAAAGACCTTCAGAAGATGCTAAAGAGAGGGAAATCCACTTGCTAGGACCTTTTACATTAAATGAGGACCTAAAAACATATATTTTTTTTAAGAGTTCATCTGCTCGTGTTCATTATTCCCGTCAGACTTGATTACGAGGTGAGAATTGGTTTGTTCAGAAGCAGATGCAGCATCACAATCTCAGGGCTGAGATTTCAGGTTAAGAATAATCATCTAGAGCAGGTGAACTCTTAAACACTCTTCATCCAGTATAACTTTTAATAAATAATTTATTTTATTTTAGAAGAAAAAAATATACAATGCAAAGCAACACAGCACATATTATTACAAATATTCAGAGCTCTTCATCTAATAACAAACAACAGGGTGTCCTGAGATTCAGTGTGTACAGATCTTTCAAAAGGTGGAAATATGTAGTCCACATGGTTAATAATTGGTCCAGTCAAGGGTCAGACTGAAACTCATGTCATGGATCTATCTATTCTTGAGTATTGTCCTGGTAAAGTTATTCGTGCAGTGGATTGAAAGAGCTCCAGACACACTCAAAGTCATTAGGTGGTCCACAAGCTTAAAGAGCAGGTCTGGTCCACTGGAAAGGTTGCCTTCAAGTCTGATATCCAGTTGGAAAGAGGGGGTGGAGGGTGAGGCTCCACTTTTCACAGGGTGATTCGTCCCTTTGCAAGAATTAGAGCTAAATGTAGAAATCACTCTTTGTTTGAGCACATACATTTTCAGGTCTTTGCTTAAGCAGGCAGAGCTCAGGACTTGGGGTGATATTCACTGGGCTTAGCTTTTTAATCTTTTGGTTTCAGTTTTTTTTCACTAATACTACTCTTTTCTGGAATAAACGCATCAAGCCATCAGCTTGAAAGAAGCAGGGCAGTAATTGGGATTTTGCTTTGCATGCCAAGAGGGGGGGATTTAAAAAAAATGCTTAACAGCTACCATCTCAACCAGGTCCTGTGAAGAGGCCACAAGCTGGGTGCCCACAGTCACCAGTCCCATCAATGCAATGGCCAAACCCTCCTACAGTGCCAGTAATATTTTTTTTTCAGAACATTTTATGAATTCTTTACATGAATAATACTTTTTTTTCTGCCTTTTCTGGCAGCAATTACCCAGTTCTCCATTCTCCATGTAGTTTCCACATCTGTCTTCTATGCAGTTTGAATTGGGGAAAGAATTTTGAATGATATTAGAAAGCAACCTCTTAAATTGTAAACACTGTTATACTGATGTCATTTGGGGAAAGCAATTCAGATGTTCAGATCATCTTTCACCCAATCCCCCCAAGTCCCAGCTCTGGAATATACTGAGCAGTTGCCCCTATTAAAAATTACAAGGAACAGTTAACCTGAATTCTCCTTTGTGAAGTACCAAATGTCTTGTTGTTCCCTTTTACCAGGAGAAAAAACCCCAAAAACCTCCAGAATTCCCCTCCACCCCCCGATATATTAACCTGTAAAGAACTTTGCTCATTCCAGTGTTTTATTTTTTGCAGAACTCTCATGTGAGAGTCTCAGCTGAGCCCACCCAGAAGCCATTTCTCTCCATTACTTTTGTTGATTTCAGAGTACATGGTTCAGGCTTTCAACATGGACACCTTTCCTCCTAAGTCACTATGATGGTTTCCTCTTTTTTAACTGCTGAAAATGTTTTTGGTTTTATTTTTGTGTTTTGTTTTGTTTGTTTGTTTGTTTTGTTTTGGTTTGTTTTTTTACTATATCTGAGAGAGATGAGAGAAGTCTTGATTTGGATGTTTTTTTAACAAACTTTCCACAGTTTTCCCAAAAATAGCCTCTAGTGAGGTCAAGTCCTCTTACTATACCACCACTGCAATGCAAAGGTGTGTGGGCTGAGCTGCTCAAGAACCAAGCCTGATTCATCCAATCATCTCTGTCCAAGGCAGCTGTGGGAGGAATTTATTTACTGGCATGGATAACTAACTAGTTGAAGTTAGTTCCAACTTTTTTTTCAGTTTCAAATGAAATGCAAGATGGATTAATGAAATAAATCCTTTCAGCTTAAAAAACCCCCAAGCAACAAACCCAAAAGGTCCCCAGGCATCAGCTCCTCTGTGCTATTCTGCTGCTGTAAAAGCCCAGAAGAAAGCTGAAGCTGAGTAGCTCAGACACGTTGTCTCCACTGCGGCCAGAAATGGACCAGAGTAGGATGACATTTGTGCTACAGAAAACATACTGGGACCTGGTGGAGGAGGCAGTTTGGAGCTTGTGAGGGTCAGAGCATCTCTGGCAGCTACAATCTAAAAGACTTTTAAACCAGCTGGCATTTCTGGCTCGAACTGTACAGATAATGGTTTTCTTGATCCACTGCTAATTGAAAAAAAACAAACATTTTTAAGTACTTTTGGGTAGCCTGAAAAGGTTTTGGGGAATACTTTTGAAATTTCTGGAATATCAAAGAGTAAATATAGGGAAGTATTTAAAGTTTTAAGTAAAATTAAGGAGCTAATTTCATGATCTTAAATGTTGCACTCAAGAAAATGGGAGGTTAGGAATAGTTTTGTCAGTGGGATGGGGTGATAAGACTGTTTAAAGCTACATGAGGAAGTGAACTTCTAATTTACTGTCAAAAACAGTAATTAATTTGGGTTTGAACTTTCTGACCCAAACCAAAGTATTTAAATCCTGAACATTTATTTTAGAGCTCTTGAAATGGCATAGAATTCTAAAGAGGAACAAACTGGAAGCTTTTGGGAAACATTATTTTCTTCTATGATATGACTAATTCAGTAAAGCAGCATGAAGTCTATGATATATTTTAGGCAATCTGCATTTTCTACCAGAACTTGCCTTGGTTAAAAGAGCTGACACAGTAGCAGGGAACGCTCCAGTGTTTCCCTTTTCTCTTAAATTACTGCCTCATCCTATCCCTCCTCTTCCCACTTGCTGTCTAGCTAGGTCTTCCTGCCATTTGGATTCTGACCACCCTGGAGATGGACCTCCTCCTTAGTCAATGTTAGTAGATCACCAGTCTGAATATAGCCCCAAAGCCTGGTGTTTCTGTGTGTTGCCATATCAGATGAGTAGGTAAGGAACCGGAGAGTCCTCAAAAGCCAAAGTAACATGGTGTGTAATTGCAGGACTAGTCTGGGAAACAGCAAGTAAGAGTCTCAGACATCCAAAAAAGGATCTAGGTAGAAATCCATGCACTCCCTAGACAGTTGCTAGAGATTATTTAATCCCAAACTCAAGGTTTTCATGTGAATGCCTGAAGACAGACTGGATGAGTCCAGGTGTAAGGAACAAATATTAGTGATGTGAGTGGAGCAAATAAAATCTGAGTGAGAGCAGACTTGTTCCTGCACTCCCTTCATGTATGTAATGCAAAACTGAATTCCATGGAGATGTTACTGATATGCACCACAAGCGAAGGATATTGCTTTGCTTATTGCTCACCCTGTACAGTGAGCTCCACAGCAAGGAGAAATGCTGCAGTTCTGTAGGGTGTGGAGATTCTTCTTTTACTCCTAATCCTCGGCACCTATTCTGTATGTGCACTGGCAATCTGCATGTAGTTGGAAGAGCCACAACCTTCTCCAAAGCATCATGGAACATAATCCTTCCCATTCTGCCTTAATGCCTGCAGTAAACTAGACTCAACTTAAGCCAGCTAGAAAGGCAGGCTTTGAGAGGAGTTTGAGTAATCAGCAGAAGGAAAGTACAGATGTAATTACACAAGCAAAGCAGTCAATTAGAGATGAAGCATAAAAAATCAGTAGCACTGAGGCATTTACCAAGTAATTTGAGTGCTGTCACCCCAACTGCAGTCATACCCATGTGCAAAAAACAAGGGCACATTCAGAAAGAAGAATCTTGGCTACGGAACCTGTCCCCTAGAGCTGTGGATTTGCTGATGCTCTTCTGTTGGCATCTGTGCTTATTTCTATTAAAGTTTAATACTATTTCTATGCCTTACTGGGTTTGACTGTCCACTTGGTTACAAAACCAACTAATCCAGTCTAAAGCCAGTATACTTCTGTGTGGGCTCTAGCTCCTACATATTTACTAGTAGAGTGGGGTTTTTCATTTGTTGGTAATCCTAAATAATCAACTGCTACTATGTTGAGAGGACAGCAAAGTCAAACATTAACTTTTGTGAGTAAAGGAGCCAATTATATATAAAAAAAAAGGGTAATGGTTTCCCTTTCTGCAGCCTCATACCTACATATTTGTGAATGGTTTGTCTTCCCACCCCTCTGCAATTCTAACAAATGACATGAAAATGATCTGGGCACTACTCACTCTAGGGTCACCTGAGCCACAGCATCCATCGAACTGTATCCATTCTCCATGAAGATCTCTGTGTATCGGCCCATTTTGATGGCTTCCAGCCACTCACCCACTGACCTGTAGGCACCACTCCCAAGTGGACTGTGCTCTACCAGCAGATTTGATACTCTAAAGAGAAGCAAAAACAGAGAAGCAAACAGAATCAGCATCGAGATGTACCCAACATGACTCAGTTGCTTGCATTTTTATGGTAACATGATTCACTCGTTGCATTTTCTGTGTTTGCTGCAGCCTGAATCCTGCCAGCAGGCTTGATACACAATTGATTAAACATACCACTTTACCTGTAACTTCACCCACTTTTGGGTTAGTTCCTGCCATTTCTGGTCCTCACTGCAAACAGAAAGAGGAGGAGAGGACTATTGTCCATCTGCATTATCACTTGCCCACAAGCAGACTCCTATCAGGCTCCCCCAGTCACTCTCAGTCTTTGGTTTCATTCCTCCCACTTTTGTTTTCCTCCTCCTCTTTTAATGCTCATAATTCACTTAAGACAGCCCAGAGCCTGGAAGCTGAAACCCAAATTACATTTCCCAGCAGCAGTTATCAATGGCAGGCTGCTGTTACCAATGCAGGGGCTGCTCCTGCAGAGTCGGGTGGGGATTTCAGATACGGGCAGCATCCAGCAAGCCCTGCAGAGAGCAGCAATGCTCCAACCATGCTCCAGTCCTGAAACCAGAGCTTGACTCCTGCCTGCTTGCTCAGGAACTGTCCGCAGCAATAGCTCCCTGTTCAGTAATGCCACGCATGGAAAAAGCAAATTCAGGCAAATAATAACCCTTCACCACAGCAGAAACACTGATACAGTACCTGGCACAAGTGACTTGCACTGTGTACGGGTCCACCACCCTACTAATGCTGCACAGAGTGCAAAGGGGGCTTCTTCAAGTTCAGCCAGAAGTAAATTAGATTTGTCCACTGCTTTGGAAACCAGGACATAGAGCTACCATACACCTCGCATAAAGATTATTACCCACAGGGAAAAAAACATTTTCTGGGTCAGCCTCCAGCAGTGAGAATTGCACTTAAAAGACTTTCAACTGGAAGGAGAGCTGGGATATTATATTATTATAGTACTTGAGGAATCTTCAGGTATTTTATGAGCACATTAGTATTATTTGTTTATTTAATAGCAATGCTGAAGGGTCCAATAAAATGTGAATACTTGCAGTACCAAGAACATAATGGCTTCCCATAACATTTTATACACACAAGGAATTCAAAAGTCCTAAGTAGTCATTACGAGAAGTGGATTTTCATCACTAATGTCAGGAGGTACCTACTGATACGCACACAATCTAATGTAGAGAGCGACTTCCTTCCTTATTTGCATTAATGAGAATTTCCATAAAAAATATATTACATATATTAAAAAAACAACAAAAAACCAAACCAACAACCTTTACAGCAGCTGTATGTTGAAATTATTATCAATTTGGAATTACTATGGCCTGGGCATAACAATCTATGAGTACAGAAACAAAGTCTGGATGTTCAGGTGCTCCCTCCACATTGAAAATACCAACAGCAGCTCCAAAAAGGAGAGGTTTAGAATTGCATGGACCTTTTAATAGAACAAAGCATCAGTAAAGTGCTTAGCAGCTCAAGGAAATAGTTTGTAGCCTATTTTCCTCTTTTCTGGCCTAAGAAAGTGCATGAACCACTGCATAACAGGCCTGGAAAATGAATGTTCTAAACTGAAATAAAAGAGAAACAGTACATATTTTGTGCTAACTTAAACCTTTTCCTCTAGGTTTGTTGATAGTTACATTACATGTAACTGCTAAAAAGAGTAATTTATTCTTCAGATGGCGAATGAACCATGTAAAACAGCTCAAGGAATCAGATCTCTCTTGTACTTAAAAATTAAGAGATTTCATGTTTCTTCTCTTCCAGTGCATGAGATGCCATACGTGGGGACAAGCTGGCATGAGGAGGTGGGATCTAGTTGCAAGAGGTGAGATGAGGCACAGGCAGCTATGCAAGACTCACCCAGATGATACGGAGCTCTTGATGGGTCTAAGCTCACAGCAGAACATCTGCTTTAGTCCACAACTCAGTCCAACCTCATCTTACATTGTGCTCATTCCTGTCTGAGGAAAATTATGCCTTTTTTGCCTCCTCAGAGAATAAGTTTTTCTGAAGGGTCTCTTCCAGTGTTAATCAGGGGAACTCCACTGCCGTCAGTGAAGCAGCGATGATTTATATTCATCCCTCCTTCGTGGCCTTGCAAGGGACTGAGTGATTAGCAACACAAACAGTCCAGAAGTAACACAGCTTACAGTGAAAAAAGAATAAAAGCCTCTCTATGGCTCCAGTACAGTGAAGACCCCAATACTCACAAATAAATATTAATCTGCTTTTCCCCAAGTGCAGTATCATGTCTTGACCATATTTACCTTACTTGTGGCCGTGCAGCTATTCAGAGTCATGTGAAAATGCACACCAGCTGTTCTTATCACTTAATGTGCTTTTAGCAAATGATTTGTGTACAGCTCTTTGGGAACCACAGAGAGCCTCTTGTGATTACCAAGACTGTCAGAACTAGCAGTGGCAGCTAGCTCACCTGGGAATAGTAGTGGGAGGATGCATTTGGACATCCTGAGTTTCCCCAAGAGATGCTCTTTATTTGTATTACTAAGATAAAGTCAACAGGCAGGTAATTGGAGCAACATTTACCATCTACTTCATGCCCTCAATTCTTGCCCTCTCTAACCTTGAGGTAGAGCACAGGTAGCTTTATCATAGACTTAGAAATACTGCTGAAACTCCCATTTCTGAAAGACAGGCCACAGTAATTTTCTTTGTGGCAGCAGCACTGCATTTATAGAGTAACTGAATTGCTCACCTGCTTGCCAGTTTCAACAGAAAAAGCTGATTTGGGACAACTCCCCTGGACATAATGAATCTGGAGCAACATCCACTAGTGGACGTGTGCAGGCTAAATAATAAGTGGTAATTCAACCCCAGGGGTCCATATTCAGACAAGGAACTTGCTCTGAGAAATGGCTCTGGCCCGAGTTGGTACCTGCTCGATGCATTAACCAATGTCTTCAAGCTGCTTGGGTTACGGATGAGCTTGTCCAACATGCTGACAATTTCGTCAAACTTGGGCCTGCTGTTGCGGTCTTTCTGCCAGCAGTCGAGCATGAGCTGGTAGAGAGCAGCAGGGCAGTCCATGGGACTTGGCAGGCGATAGCCCTCCTCCACGGCTTTAATCACCTACAGGAGACAAAACAGGAGGCTGATGAGTTGCTTTTCTTCTTCTCCTCATCTTTTCCCCAAATGCAAGCTAACTTCAACAGAGAACTTTGGGAGCAGAAATATGCTCACATACAATTTCTACAGCACCCCAAGTCTGCACACCAGAGGCAAACCCAGTAAACCCCACTATCTTTCATATATCATTTTCTATGGGATGGGTTGAATAACTTAGTTTTTGGTCACTGCAAAATAAATCTAGAAAGCCAAGGCACTTCTGCAATCCGGGGGCCATATTGCCAGGTTGCACTTGTCCAAAGCTCAGCTGAGGTCTGCAGGTTACATACCAGCAGCCTACCCTAAGTCCATGAAAAGCAGCCTGCAGGGCTTTCTGGCATCTTCTTGGAGTGCAGTGATTTTGTTTATTCTGATGTTAGCTTGCTTTTAAATGAAAAAGCATGTGCTAGACCACAAATTTGTATTACAATAATAAAAGTCTGACTGTATTTCGAAAGAGACTTTGAATGCTAATTGATGGATGGATTGAAGGCAGAGGCAAAACAACCATCTCATATATCATTCAATACTGTCTGGGTTTAGTAGATTCTTAGTGTGGCCACATTTCTGCCAGGAATTTAAAATGTCAGCCCAACAGTATGTAAAAATTAAAACCAGGGGAGGGTTGTTGCACTGATTTAAAATACAAACCATCTATGGTTCTATATCTAAAACAAGAGGCATGCACACGTGCTGCCTGCCCTCTTGAAAGGCAGAAATGAATAAATGAGAGCAGAATTGAAGAAAGCTACTTGTTTTTCCTAGTTTTAGACAGATTTACAGCAGGGCTCCAAGCCCAGAAGTTCCCATTTTGAACCATTATTATTTTCAGGAGAATGCAGCTTGTGTTTCAAGCCACAAGGGTCTGTGACTGTGCCAGGAGAGTCCCAGTGGCCCATCTTCACACCCTCAACCCTCAAGACTCTTTCACCAAAAGGAGCTGGACACAGTTATTTGTTATGTGGAATACCACAGAACTTCACTGTTGCACTCCAAGTACTGCCTCAGATGCCATTTCTTCTAGGCACAGTCTCACGATTTGAAAACAACCTGTGTTTAAAAAGAAAGCTCTGTGGTTAGCACAGAAGTAATTTTCTTGATCTTTAGTGTCTCTATGAGCAGTACAGGAAGAGTTGTGCCAGGCTGGCATTGCATTTCAAAAGGCTCTGAAATTCAGGATTGCATGGCTGGCCTTCAAATCCTCTTCTGCCACAGGGCTTTTTGCTGAGTGGTAGAGTCCTAGGAATGAGCTTACCTGGCTGAGCAGCAGTAGGAACCTCAAAGTCCCTCAGGATGTACATAGTACAGAAATTGGGCAAGAATTTGTAATCTTCTCCAAGGGTAGCCCACAAGATCTGGCCCACAAGACCTGCAGTCCATTTGCAGTCATCTAAGATTTCATCTGTCAGTGGAGCTTGCACTGTGCTCCACCCAACATGTGCTTGCAAGGAATCTCTTCTATGGCTTGGCTTTTGCTCACAGCATCAAAAACCAGTCCTACCACACTATGCTTCTGCTGGTCCCTGATACCAAATTTGCAGATGTCCTATAAAAAAAGCCTCAGTGTGGCAAACCCACAAGAACATTACTTGCTGTGTCCGTATCTGTATTTATAGCAATAATTGATCATCCTCCAGCTGCAGCAGAAAGCAAATAGTAGTGAGACAGGGAGCAGACCATCTGGCACCAACTCAGAATATCTGAACTACATCTGCAGTGGGGTTATACATGTCTGATATTACTGGCAGTAACATCACAATCAATAGCATTAACTCAATTTACAGGATGTAATTCATTCTGATGACACAATGTAAATAGTATCAAAATACTGTGAGGAGCTAAGATGCTGAAACACACTCTTGCATTCGAAGAAACTCTCATGCAAAAGAGTCCAAAATTCATGTGATCAGAGTCCTCTGGTCCTCTGCATGGAAGCCAATGATGTACCTAACACCACTGATTCTTCTGTCAACACAAGCAGGGGAGGAAAGAAGAGGCTTTCAGAAGATGAAGGAGAAAGGCATAAATCACACGAAATATGCCACAGCACTGAATTGGGATTCCTGGGCTACCACCACTAAGGCACCTGCACAGTGGCATAGAGGTAACCCAAGCAAAGCCTGAGCAGGATGGTCATAAACATCTCACCATTTCTCTGCTTTCTGCTGCTAAAAAATGAGTCCCCCATCCACTTCTTCTCAAGCAAGCATGAAATTCACAAATTCACACTGTGCCCCACAGTGCATGGAGGTCGGACTTTTCAGAACTGTTCTGCAAAATTCATAGTGCTACAATCCAGACAAGGGATGTCTCTGGCCATGCAGCATTATTCACTGGCAGCAGCCTGAATCTTAGTCTGGCATTTACTGAACAACATCTGTGCTATGCTGGGTGCATCAGCATTAAAGATAGTTACAGTGCTCAGTGTGACTGAAAAAGCTTGGCTCTCAATTGCTGCATTCTCTGCACAGGCTATGGAAGAAAGTCTCTACATTTGATTGAGATAAATCCCTGCGTAGATACATGCTGCTTTACCAAACTTCCTGTAAATGTGACAGCCTCAGTGTCCTGGTTTGAGCCAGGATGAAGCCAATTTTTCTTTTTACTGATTTTTTTTTCCTTCAGTAAGCTTTCTTGTAACTAGCAACAGTGTGTTCTGCTAGGCTGATAAGACAGTGGAATGTTTTTCTAACTACTGAGGCTTCAAGGCTGCACCTGCACTCTGCCGGCTCAGACACTATGGGGAGATCTGTGACCCCCCCCGTAGGAGGCTGAGTTAGACAGACAGCAAAATTGGCCAAAGATATTCCATTCCATATATCTACGTAAGCTCAGAGGAAGGTCAGAGATCACAGAGGACAACTTCCTTCCTTCTTCTTCTTCCCTTCTCTTCCGTCCATGGCTGGTGTCCGGGCAGGACTCTGTTCATCCATCACCGTCGATCCTCAGACTTGATCTCTTGTGACCCCCATAACTCTGTGCTTTCTCCAGCAGCAGCTCCGGGATTCCTCGGGACTCTTCCCAGTTCAGGAAAGTGCTGTGGGAGTTGCTGGGGTGGGGGGAGGCGAGAGGTTTTTGCCCATACCTGAATATATCTGTATATAATTGTATATATTTTCTTGTATCATTCATTAGTGTTTTAATTAAAGCTGTGTAGTTTAGTTTTCAATCCAGCCAAGTCTCTCTCTTTTTCTCTCTCTCCTTCCCTACCTGGGTTGGGGGGAGGGGGGATCGAGAGCATTGTTGTCGGACCTGAGTTAAACTGTGACACTCAGCAATGCAGAAGTGGTGGGGCATTCATGCCAAACAACGTGCTCATCTCGCTGGCAAGAAACACGGTGCGATGGTCTCAAAGGTATCGCTCCCAGACTCAAAGTGAGATGAGACAGCAGCTCAGTGTGACAGGTAGTAACATCCACTGATGACAAAAGCCCAGAGACAAAATGCAGGAGGAGCAGAAGGCTCAGCTGGAGCCTTTGCTGCCAGTGAAACAGCAGAAAGTCAAGGGGACTGGAAGGCTGCTTAAAAAATAAAAAGGATGAAACATCAGCTGTTGTGACCAGAGGGAACCCATGGCAGAGCATGGACCTGCTTTCCTTGCCCAGAAGGTAGTAGCATCTCTGCAGGTGGCAAGGCTGCAGAGATGAAGTGGGAGGGATCAGGAACAACTCCATTTGCTACATGAAAAGTGGTGCTTTTTCACCCAAGCGCAGAGCTGCTTTGCATGGCTCATGGTGAACCCGGCCACACTTCATGGTTCTCAGAAGTGTGAAGTTGACAGAGAGGCCTAGAAAATCTGGCAATCCCAGGCTTAAATTTTTTTTGCCTTAGACAAGGACAGATGTTTATGGTGAGCTTGGGGTAGGAGGTAGCCCTGCAGAAGGATCAAGAGATCCTTACAGAAGCTGGAATCAGAGCAGCAGTCAGGAGGCGGACAGCGTCTCAGGGGTCTTCCTGTTTAGAGATGCTTCAGAGAGTGTTTTGAGGTCAAAGGGACACTGGGGGCCAGGAAGAAGGGGAACACAACTCCAAGGGTGCTGTACAAACAAACAATGAGACCTTGCACAAACTTACAAGACATTCAAAACAGCAGCAAAACTATGCTCTCAAGATCAGCAATGCAAAGGCAACCAAGATGCAGCTCTTTGGACTGCTGTCATTAGATCACATCACCCACCTTTTGTGCAGGGAAACTAAGCCCTTACCATGATTCTCTTGAGTTTCTGTTTTATGTGACAGCAGGGATTTGAAGACACAATTGAAATGCTGCCAGTTATTAGCATCTATTCCCTTCCAGGCCTTTGTCATTAAGCAGAAGAGGGACATGCTCCAGCTCTAACAGCATTAGTGAAGCTCCAGTAGCCTGCTAGGGGAAGCAAGCTTGCCTCTGTGCAGACACATTTCCCTCTGTGCACAGCCTGTTTGGGGCTGCTGCTGCAAAATAAGCAAATCAAATGGGAGGATTGTTTTTGTCTGGCAGGGGGAAGCAAAGCCCTTTTTACAGCGGCTCTGTTCCTCTCGTGCCACCCTGCATCTCTGACGGCAGAATGAAGTCCAAGCCCTCAAAGTCCCACCCTGCAGCAGCTCTCACACATGCTTACATCTTGGTTTGTCATTTCCCAGTAGGGCCTCTCGCCGTAGGACATCACCTCCCACATCACGATGCCGTAGCTCCAGACGTCGCTGGCCGACGTGAATTTGCGGAAGGCGATAGCTTCGGGTGCTGTCCATCGGATGGGGATCTTCCCTCCCTAGGAGGTGAAGAGAAGAAAAAACCCACAACAAAACCCAGACTGCAGAGGAGGGCACAGAGCATGCAAAAGAGGACGAAACTGCACTTCTTAGATCACAGAGGGATGTGATTTTCTCTCTGGAAAGAGACATCGAATTTTAAAGTAAATCTGTTTGACAGCATGGGGCCCCTTTCCGCATTATCTCATCCCATAAGCATTTGTAGGCTGCCTACTAATTGGCTGTCCTGAAGGTTTGTTGTTTGAATGCTGGGACATGTATAGGATCAACATCTCAATTATGTTGCACAGGTTGGTAGGGGAATACAGTTCCTTCGCTTCTGAGAGTGAGCGGGGGAGGAACAGACAGCTCTGAAGTGGAGGAAGACTTTGATCTAACGAGGGCTTCATGCAAATTGCTGCGGAAGTAATGCTGGGTGTTTTCTTTCTTCCTTTTTTTTTTTTCTTCTTCTAATGCAGTCCCGGTCCAGCAGAGAGATCTGCATAGTGGGCACAGAAATCTCTGTATGCAAATACCAGCCTGCTTGGCCTCTGCTGTGGGACTGAAAATGATGTCACAGCTGTCAAATGTGCTTTGCTGTTTCCTTTCCCCCTTTCTACCATTTTAGAAACCAAACTTCAGACCAGCTCTGAGAAGGAAGAGGGGAGGGAAAGGGGAGTTTAGATTAAGGAATATTTTTCTCATTGGGTTTAAAGAGTTTTCTCCCTTGATTTATATCAAAACATATTTTACTGTGAAGTCCCTTCCTCTCAGTCTTGAGCTAAATATTAGAAAGTGTCCCCGAATGCCCCCAGCAGTGTTTGTTATTGGAATAAGGTAGAATTTGGAGCACATTTTCAAAGCAAGCTTTTAAAAGTGCCTTCTTCTGATAATTAGTTATTCATAAGCTTATCAGTGCATGTCTTAAGTGAGGGGCCAGATTCTCAGTAGTGCCAATTAGCACATGGCAGCACTTTGCCACCACAGCAGGGCTGGCCAAGAGCCTTCCAGCCTGCAGGGAGGCTCCAGTCCAGCCATGCACTGAGTCCTGTCAGGGGCTGCGGCAGCCAAGAGCTGAAATGCCTTTCCCAGATCTCTGCAGGAACTGGGAATGTGACCAGAGAGCTCCCATCACCCACAAAACAATACCCTTGGAAAAACACACTAATAGGACATGTCCAGGCATGCCAATCACTGCTGTGAATATTGCAGGCTCTCTCCAAGCCTATGCTGCTGAGGATGGATCCTATTCACCCCCTGTTTGCAGTGCTGAGGCCATATGGCCTTACACTGGGATGGGAGGGCTGATGCCCTGAAAGGATGGATCAAGGATAGAAAGGGGCAGAGCACTGAGGCTTGAGTGACTCTTTCTCAGGTTGGGGAATATTATCCCCAACAGGGTAACGTTGAGGGCAACATGCATCATTTGCAATGGGCACTACACGTGTCAAACTGTTCAGAAGATCACCCACCTCCGCATGGGTGTCTAAGTAAAGAACTTACTCTTTCCACACTTTGGTATTTGCCAAAGAGGACAGAACAGAGCTGGAAGCACAGCACCTTTGGAAAGCTTGCTATTTGACTCAGGTGCACAACATCAACTTAGAAGTTGTAAGTTAAGTTCTGCCTTATTTTGCCATCCCCACTACAAAGTTATAGGCATTTGCAAAATTAATCTGATAGTGATTAACTGCTAACACCTTGTGCACAGTTTAGAGACTCTGCATTTTTAGAAACTTCTTTTCTAGAAAGTGTGACCACCAAAATGTGGCAGAAAATACATTTTTCTTGAACTCAATCAGTTCAGCTTCTTCTAACTCACCCTGGTTGTGTATGCTGCTTCTGGGTCATCTTCCAGGACTCTGGAGAGGCCAAAGTCTGACACTTTGCAGACTAAGTTGCTGTTGATCAGGATATTCCTGGCAGCCAGATCTCTGTGTACGTAGCCCATGTCAGACAGGTACTTCATTCCTGACGCGATGCCCCGCAGCATCCCAACCAGCTGGATGACCGTGAACTGCCCATCATTCTTCTGCAAAAGGAAGGAGATATTTAACCAGCTGAGAGTCCCTGCACCCTCAGTGTTGCGTGTGTGTAAATAAATACGCAAAGACAAGTCTCCAGGGAAGAAAACCAGGGAAATTAATGATTCATTACTCTCATGCTCTGACCACTAAGCTTTTAAAAGTTTCACTGTTTGGATTAGGATCTCTAGGGACAAAGCTAAGGAAATGCAGTTCTTTTAACTGGAGATCAAGGAGCGAGCTATTTCCACTGGTGACTAATAAAGAGACTGTGACTGGGAGTGAATACATATAGTCATGTGTATAAAGGTGCCAGCGTGGGTTGTTTCTGAGTCAGCCAACTGAATGGCACCAAGTTGCATGGAAGTCCTACCTGCAGAAGTCCGTATTTGAATATCTGGGGGAAGGGCTCTTCCCCATGTTGTCACAATGTTTTTTGAACCACTTCCCCTATCCTCCCTTCTCTAGCTTTGCACTGGTTTGGACTGGTGGCTTTTTTTGGTAGTGGGGGAGGGGCCCCATGGGTGGCTCCTGTAAGAAGCTTAAGAATTCTCCCAGTTCCAATACCAGCTAGTCAAGGAGCCATTACAGAGACAAGAGATGCACCTCTGTGATTAACATATGAAGAAACTGATCTAAGATCTGAGCATGGCAGGCAGTGGGAAAAGAGTGGAGCTGGAGAGGCAGAGCGGTGTCCTTCCTGAAGAGGAAGGAGTGGCAGGAAACACAAAACGGTAGACTCACACTCAACCACACCCTCTGTCCCCCTGTGCCACTTGGGAGATGGAAGTAGAAAAATTTGGAACAAAGTAATTTGTGCACATGAAAAAGGGAGGGGTGGGGTAACATATGCAAGCACTGCTCTTTGTGTTGTCTGTGTCCTGTGTGCATTTGATTAGTGTGAAATTAAATGATCATTTTTCCCCAAGTTGAGTCTGTTTTGCCTGTGACCTTAATGGGTGAAGAGCCCTCCTTGCATTTTGTCTCAACCCATGAGTTTCTAGTTGGCTTTTGTCCTCTCCATCCCAGTGTGTGTGTGGGAGTTGAGTGAGTGGCTGCAGGGCTGGTTCTTTGTTGTGCTGGACCCAAAACACAACAAGTTCTTGTGTTTCATGTAAAAACTCTGACAAGTCTGGGCTTTGCCATCATGCAGTGTGGTTATGGTCTTGAAACACACTAAATTCGGCATGGTAAGTAAATAATTTCCATGCCTTCTAAAATAAATAATATCCTCTGATTTATTCTTCCCTGTTTGTATCAATGCATGATCCAGGTCCTTCGTGATGCTGCATAAATATAGATCACACAGGCAACTGAGCCACTTCTGCCTCCAGACAGCAGCAGCAGCTGGGCCAACACCCAGCAAACATTTTCACTGATTTTAACCATCTGCAAAGAACCCAAACTTTAACCAAGGTCCCTCTGGAAAAAGGGTCTAAGTATTACCTTTAAAAATGTATCCAGAGAACCGTTCTCCATATATTCGGTCACTATCATTACTGGTTTGCCTGGAAAAAAAATACACGAGATTGGTAGCAATTTATTTAAAGTCTTTTCATAATGCATCTGAACGTGAGTACAGAGCCATGCAACAGTAAATCTACATAGAGACACTGCTTTCCCAGCAGGCTGACAATAGTTTTTGCCAGAATATATGTAAAAAGAGGAGAATAGAGGAGGAGGGATGAAAAAGTAATCCTGTATTATGGGTGGGTCACCAAGCCCTAGAGTGTTTAGATCATGTTTGAGGAAGAGGCTGCAAGCTGAATGTAGGCAACCTGTGCACAACCTTCTCCTTGTCTCTGTGAAGAAGCTGAAAGCTTGCAGAGGCCAAATTGCACACACCAACCTCTCTGGACTCTTCCTACAGCTTCAACACCCTCAGATAACAATGGGAGCCCAATAGGAGCAACCAGGATGATTGGAAATATCCATCTGACCTTGGTTCCCACTCAGACCAAGACCAGGAAAGGATGGGATTCTACCCCTTGTAATTCAAGTAATCCCGTATGATTATACTTGTAAACACATCTGGAAGTAAGAAAAGGAATATTTATGTTGCAGAACAAAAGCAAGCCAACTATGGAAGGAGTGCAAGTGGAAATCAAAATAAAAGTCCTTAACAAAAGACCTGGTCTCCTATTGTTGACAGGAATAATAATGTTTTTCCAAATCCATTTGATTAATTTTCATGCTCGAGTCATTTTAATGGTAATTATGTATAGTTTTTGCTCAGTTTTTATATCTAATTTCTCGCTAGCTTGCCACAACGACATAGCAATAATTAATGTGGTGTGCTCCAGCCCTTGTAAATTCAATGAAATCTTATAAGAACATGTAAATTATTTTTTATTTAAATCAATTTCTATTTGCTAGCATGAAGCACAGACAAAAGAGGAGCTGTCACTTATTTGTAAAGTGCATTATAAATGTCTTTCACAGAAATGATCAACGAGAGCTGCCACGTGTCATAACATGAGCATGAAGGTAAATGCTCCTAAAAATCAGCACATGTCCTACCATTTAGATTGATCTTAATCTTCCCACTTTCCCATTGCCTTAACTATTTGCCTAATTTACTGCTTAATTATCTACATAATGCAGGTAATTGTGAACTTGTCAATCAAAACACTCGTTGTGCAGATACTACCTTTGCAGTCTGAGGGACCAGCGCTGCTTCAATTATTTTAAGTTACTATCACAGCTACTGCCTGAGCTCGAAGCTTGCCAAATGCTTTGCTTTTGATATGAGAAATGTACCTCAGGGCCATGAAAAATACCATGGAGCCCCAAACAATCTAATGGGCTCCATCTTCAAGGATGACAACCATCTGTCTACCCACAACATGGGCTGCCTGCAGGAGGGAGGAGAGATCTTGGGTGACGTTGCTATAGGTTGACAAACATGTCAGTGGCTACGCAGGGAAGGAAAATCCCATTTTTTGTTTTTAAAAACTAAACCCCAACTGTAGTGTGAGGTCCCATATCTCTGACACTTCACGGCAGAGTTGCAGCAAGACTAGCATTTCATTTCACCAGCACTCTGGTGGACCTCCTTCAGACTCCTGTCTTCGTTTGCCCTAAGAAAAAAAATAATTAAAAAAAAAATTCTAGCACCTATGTTTCATGATCTGACTGCTGCAGGTTGACAGTAATTGTGGAATAAATTAGCCCCATGCCCAAGAGCATGGAATTAAAGACATAAACAGAGTAACTTTCCATAAAGTAAATTAAAAGTAAACATGGTCCCTTCTAAAGAGCTGGGCTGATTCCCTGTGTCAGCAGGACTCCCTCCTACTGGCATTATGGGACCATAAAATGTGTGCAGATGTCATTTATATCGATGTGCTACTGCAGTGTCCACACTGTTAGTGAATCCAACCATATGTGAATGAAAACAGAACTGTCATTACCTTTTTATAGCAGAAATAGCTAAGGGCTTTTTTGCATGGGGACAATGAACATGATTAATCCAAATTAATTAAGGTGTGTATTTGAAATATATTAGTTAAATGGTATTAAGCCCCTGCGTGGATATTCTCATTCAGAATTAAAAATGGCCTAATTCGATTTACCTTAATTTACTTCCAAAGCATATCATGATGCAGCAAAGACATTTTACCCTAAAGATCTGAATGTAACATAGGCCAGTGACTAAAACACTTAAGGGAAAAAGAAGTTAAAAAAGCACTTTGAGTTAGCAGCAGGGTTTGCGATTCATAAAGGTTGTTTTGATTAACTTAAAATAAAAAAAAAAAAGCTGGGAAGATGCTCCAGATGCCCGATGGAAAAAAAATTTGAGTGCAGGAAACAACATTTACTAAGGAGCACGTACCCCTCTGCATCCAAATTCCAGCTGTTCCAAGTCCAATTTTGAAGCAAACTCCTAGTGTTTCCGTGGCCTTTAGAGCAGACAGTCATTTTATATAGAAGGCAGCTAACTAGGGATGCACATCCTCTCTAAAAGTGGGATTCCCACCCATCCCCTGAGGCCCTGGCAGCCAGAAAGCCCATGTCAGCAGCAGCTTTTATGGATGTATAGCTGTAACTCACTTCCTGCTCAATACCCCACATGCCTTCACGGCTAGAAATAGGAGCTTTTATGTATTAAGGGTTGGACAAAGTGACCATAAGAGACTTTCATATTTATTCAATTTTTGGGAGAAACTTACCTTGATTATTTTTTTTTCTTTTCTTAAAAGGTTAAGGAAATGCAATTTCAAGGAAAAATGCTGTTGATTGCAAAATAACATTGACTTTGAGTAGGTTTTAAGGATAGAAACAGGACAACCAGCTAGTGTTTCTGTACCTTCCTTATTACAGACCTGAAAAATAATTAATTTTGAAGATGCTGCCTCTAATAAGTGACAAATGGTACTAACAGCACCCACTTGACCCGAAACCCTGGGATTTGAACAGCAGTAGCTAAGCTCTGACATTACTGATCCTGAAGACAAGAGAGGAGACAGTCATTCACCTTTTGAGGCTTGTGCTTCTTCAGCTAGCAAAACTTCCCAAAATACTCAAAATCCTAAAATAAAGGTGTAGTTGTTTTTAACATCATCAACAAAAAAATCTTCGAGGCAAATAATGTAGACCTTTCAAACAACTCTGAACTTCTCCCACAGCATCAGCACAGCAGCAACAGCCAGAGCGGATTGGGCTGGGCACATCTGGATGTGCTGTCCTTTCCTCTGACCTTATCTTTAGTGCAAATAGTAATTTGGAGAACTGGGCTGGGAAAGTTATGGCAGGTTATTTTGTTAATTGAGCAGTCAGAGCTCAGTAACTCTCGTGCTGGGATGTTTTGCCAGCCATTTCACCTTTTCAGCCCTCAACCCCTCTCATAATCTATATGTCAGCACCAGGGGCAAATATTACCACAGGCATCACTAGCAGATCCCAGAGGGAGCTTTCTTGAGGTTTTACACAGTCCTGTTGTCTTTAGCTACACTTCTGTTCTTCCTTGTTTCTGGAAAACAAAACTTCAGCTAACTACTGTCCTTGATCGCATCCTATGTGAGTCATCATAAGGCACAGCACCACTCTCCTGTGGCCTTTGCTTCAGTGGTTTCCCAGATTATGACGGCTGGAAATCACCCGGGGTGGTGTTTGTTGTTGTTGTTGTTTGGTTTTAGTTTTTTGTTCCCCAGACTCTTGGTAGCAAAATCCTCAATGTTTTCCTGCCAGGGACATTGCTTCCCACATCTTGCCACATGTGGTTTCAAAAGTAAACAAAGAAAGGCAAGAATAAGAAGTGGGACTGCTTGAAAAATTTAGCGGGTGGCTTGGCATCAGTGTGCTCAAAATACTCTTGAATTTTGCAGGCAGTATGTGCTGCTGAACTGCTTGAAAGGCAGAAGTCAGGCAGCACACTCCACCATCATTCAGACATCCCAGGCTTACTATCATCTCCATCACCCACCCACTGCCTGAGGCTGGACAGACGCATCATCTCCTATATCTGTTCCATTTAATTCTGGGCCTTTGAAGAGGGGCTTCCTCTTAGCCCACATATATTATGCCTAGTTGAGGCAAGGTCTTCAGAGGGAAATAATGTTTTTTGTAACTTTAGCCATTATCTATTAATTCCAGCTGGAAACACACTGAAATCCTTTGGGCACAAACCTCCTTTACGACACTGGGGAACCTGTTCCCGGCTGGACCTACAAAGTGTGACATCCCAGGCAAGGGGAATTCACTGATTTTTGAGAAATTCTGAAAGGCACAGTCAAAATGCAAGTTTACCCAAGTCTTTCTCTCCTAACAAACTCTCACATCAGCCAGAGTTCAAGGACAGCAGTTCACAACTTGCACCTACTTTTTGTGACGACTCCTTCAAGGTGGATGATGTTGGGGTGGTCGAACTGCCCCATGATACTTGCTTCTCCCAAGAAATCCCGCCTCTGTTTCTCCGTGTAGCCCACCTTCAGGGTTTTGATAGCCACTGGAAACTCACGCTTTCCATGTAGCTTCAGCCGCCCGCTGCAGACCTCCCCAAATTCACCTGCAGAGAAAAATCAGAAAAAACAGGATCACAGCACATTGAATGATCACATGCACGTCCATCTACAGCGGCCCAGTGCCTACAGAGAGCTGACCAAAAGCATGCAGGACTGCCCCGTATTCATGGATGTGGGAAGCTGAACATCAGTGTGATCAACATCTTAAATAGCCAGCGTACCACAAACCAAGTAACTCATAAGCACAAGAAAACCAGCAATAAAAATGCAATTTTCCTATATTTAAAGAGCTATGCTCCATATTCCATTGGGTTTTTTCCTCATTTCATGTTTTTGTCTACTAGATGAGAGTCCTGTTACATCCTGTATCATCGCTCTGTGTAGACAGCTATAAAATACAAGCCACTTGCTTCTTAACTTTCCTTTGGTAAGTTAAATAGACAGAATGCTGTTAGCCTTTCACAGCAATATATGTTTTTATAGACTATAAAGCCTTTCCAAATTTATGACTGCCTTTAAAAAAAAGTAACCCAAATGGTGGTTTGTTTTTTTTTTAATCTGGTGCACAGTAAATTACCTCCAAAAACACAATTTCAGAGGACAGAAAATATTTCTAATGGATGCAAATCCAAACAAACAGCTTAAGTAGAAAGAAAATGGGAATTTCTTCTTTTAACCAAGGAAGTTAAAAGCTTTGAACTTTGGTTTGTGCTTTTTTTTAATCTGCCAGATGGCATTTTATTCTTAATTTTTTGCTTTGAGAATGACCTTAATGGGGGAGGAGAAAAAGATTAAAACTGAGAAAAGAACCTGAAAATTAAGTGACTTATTTACCTCAGCATCTATCAAAATAACTCAATGTGGTCCATCTGTGGCAATTTTCTGCCATTTTCAGTTCAGTCCTTGAATTTCAAAACCCCAGACAATGACAGGCTTGTCCCAGACTTCAGCTGGAACATGCTCCCCATCACTTGCAGGGTACCTAACAGCACAAATATTTCATGGTCCTTCCCAGATCTCTTGTGTTAAGAAAGCCAACCCTCTATGCTGCTAAGGGTCATTACATGTATTTCCATACCAGCTCCAATAACTCTTTCAATGGTTATGCATGAAGCTTCAATTTCCTTAGCAAACTCATGGACAGCTTGATTAGGATCCTCATAGGTGTGGGGATCAATGTAGGTCCTTACTCCAGGCAGCTTAACTGCAAACACAAATAAAGAGCATTAATGGCACATGGCATGACAGAAGATGGGCAATACACACTCCTGTCTCTTGCATTCTGCTTTGCTAGAAAACATTGCAGCAGGGAAACCTATTTCTATGGGAAAAATGAACTGCATTCTTGGAAAATGACAGTTTGTATGTGACATACATGCAACTTCATCGTATTTAGAAAAGCACATGATAGTGCTCAGCTGGAATGAAGAGCAGCTAAATCCCCTCTTGGTGCTGTATAACAGGCTGGTCTGGGGTCTGGCACAAAGAGATCCCTTTCTGGATCTGGAAAGGGCACACGAGGAGGAAAAGTACAAAAAGCAAAATGTTAAGGGAACAGCTTACAAAGCAAATTGGATGGATGGGGGTTGATGGAGAGCTGCAATAAATTATGCCCTACCAGTCATATATTAGCTAATCAATTGGCCACATTTTTTCAGATTGAGTTACTGAGATTTAAATGAACTGAATATTTGCAGTACAATGCCTGTGGGTTGTGCCAGTATAAATATAATCAATAGCAGGCTTTTTCTACAGGACTTGAAAGGGGAAAAAGTATTTTCATTATCCATATTATAAGTTTGTTTTGACAATCATTAAGGCTACTCACATGAAGAACTGCTCATCAGTCTAATAAGACAGCTACATTACACTGTGACTCTTAATTGATTTGCTTCCTGCTGCCTTCATTATATAGCACTAATGGAAATTTGACTTCCACTCAAGATGTGTTTGCCTTTTCCACCCCAAAAGGCACCTCGCTGCTACCCATCCCCAGATCCCACAGCATATGACAAAGGAAGGCTTTTCAAACACTGGCTTTGGATTTATGGAAGGACTGATAGCAATCATGAGATGTACTTTCTAGCATCATCACCACAGAGGTTGTTTTGTATATGAGGGCATTAACACAGCATTTCTGGAAGCTTCCCAGGAGCAAGAAGTAGGCGTTAGCCCTCACACCTTTGAAGAGGCATCTGAGGCAAGGAGTACCTGTGGGCTTGGTCCTCACAGCTGGCTAGGATGGAACAAGTATTTCAAACAGGTATTCTGGACTGATAGACCACAAAAATGTAGAGTACTTCTGTGACAACTACACAAAATTAAAAGCACCTTGGGTCACACAGCAAAGACAGAGGAACTGGACAAAACAGCTCACTAGAGAGATCTGCTGCAAACATACAGGTGTCAGTAGCTGAGTGCATATAAGGACTGTTCTAACAGTTTGTTCGGTCCTCCATGGTGCTTAGAGCAGTGGCAAGTGGGGACTTACTGAATAATGGAGCAAACAATTATTTTGTGAGTAACCAGCAAAACCAGAACAATTACTTTTTTTTTAAAGAAACCCTCTCAGTTGTGTTTCTCATTACCACTGAGAGCCAAACCCACACATATATATATATATATGTTAGATCTTTACTCACTGTGGCCATTATGAAAATGCATCTTTTCTTCTTCTGGATCTTGTTTAGCCTTGCTGTAGCCACATCGCCTGGAAAAAACCCAAAACAAACAACAGAATAATATTCTTGTCTCTGATATGGCAAAGCCCCACTCTTCAAATCACACAAAGCACAAAAACCCAGAGCAGTGATAAGTCCAGCCACTCTAGTTGCTCCATTGCTGCTGTCCTATTTTTAACTCATCAAACTACTTGCAATTTCCCTAAGGGGATTCAGGGCCCAAGGCCCACTGATTTTCAATTGGACTCGTGTTTCAAAATCCCACAGATGCTTCTGAACAACTCCACTCTACCATACTTCTATTCAGCTATTATTAGGGAAAAAATAATAAATGCAAGAACAGGAAGGACAATGGAAAGGGTATGGGATGAAACATTAGACTTGCAGAAACAAATCCTGACCGTAGAGCTTTTGCAGGCACCATGTTGTATGTGTTGCACGCTCCCCTTCATCCCTGGGCGCTTACACAGACGTTTAAAATCTGACGCTTTAGAAACCATCTTGTGTAAACATTAACACCTTATGCACATGCAAACTAATGGCTTAAAAAACCCGAAAAGCTGTTGCCTCATTGTCTTTGGGGGCATCCTGTATATACCTGGCTCTGATGGGGGTTTTCTGCACATCTCCTGTCTTCACACTGGGGAGCTACCATTCATGCAATCCCCTCTGCCCAGCAGCAATAAAGACAGAAAAGGGCATGCAGTCACTGTTTATTTTGCTCCCACATTAGCACCAGGCAGTGGGATGCTGCTGAATCCTGCCATGCAGTTGCAACCACAGCCATATGGGAGTCACATTTCCCTCAGAGCTTACACCTGTTAGTCTTCGGCTGCTCTTCCCTGACTCTTCTTGCTGGTTCTCTAGGTGATGTTATTGCATTAGCATTAACTGGCTGCTTTGGTGGCATTTCTGAGACCTGCTTCACTTAGACAACCTCATAGGAAGCCACAGTGTAACTGCACAGGCAAGGATAACTGCTATATACACACGTATCTATATGAGGTAGGTATGATGTACATATTTGTGCCAGTCTTTCAAAGGATCTGATATGATAACTGGATACAGTAACTGGATCATCCTTACAGCAAACTGCATTGACATGAGACAAAGGGATGTTGCTTGGTAGAGTGAAAAACCTGCAACAGACACCTGCAAACCAACCAGTGTGCAGTGGGATCACATCTGGCACACCTTAAAGAAAATCTCAGGTTACCAAGAAGCCATTTAAAGCTGAGAAACTTGGAGTCTTCTCTTCCATTACCCATGACTTTCTCAAAAGGGGATGTGAGCATTCCAGCATCACTTGCAGCAAGGAGAAGCATACTATTAGCAGAAACAAAACTGCAATTAGGAGGAGGCAGTAATAGGCATCTGCATGAAACATGCCCTCAGCATGAAGTCCTATTACAGGGAACTGCTGTCCGCCTGGATACAAGGGGTCCAGCAGCCTTTCGGCTATAGGATTTTGGCACAGGATGTGTGAAATGATCATGCTTACAATCAAAAGCCCTGACATGACAGGATGCACGCACTGCTACTGAGCTGGCCCCAGCAGAGCTAGACATTGGAAGGTCAAGGAGGTGAAAAGCAACATGAGCTCCCAGGGTTCATCTGTGGAAGGGTGGTAGGCACGCCAGCTTACCTTGGGGAGAAGGGGAGTCCTGTCTTAAGGGGAGAGGAGGAAAAAAACAGACTGCAAAGGTTGTGCAAGCGCAGGGGAATGGATCGATACAAGGTGCAGAAGACAAGGGGGTAAGCTGACAGGCAGTCCAGAGGCACAGGCAGGGAGATAAATAGGTTGCACTTGATAAACAACCAGGCTGTCCATGCAGGGCACCATTTTAGCAGCAGTGACCAAGCTGAGACGAGTACACTCCAAATGCAAAACCAGCGAGAGCAGCAATGAGGGGCCTAGGGACACTGTGTGTCAGTGCTCATCACCCTGCCCTAGCAGCAGCAGTGCCATTGCCCAAGAGGGGCTCCTGCCTAAACAACTCAAAAACTAAGCACTAGCTGTTCATGGACACCATGGGAGTAAGGGTCCTTTCAAAGCACATTTTGGTGCTCACAGTCCCTGGATGAAAATGGGTTCTTCTTCTTCATCATACTACCTCCCTCTTTAAGTATATACACTACAGATGAGTATCAGTATCAATTCCTACCTCTGTCAGTACCAATTTTTTTCAGCTGCAAGTTGCCAACAGTTCTCCCCAGAAGTATTTTTCTGGATTGGGACATGTAACTCAATTTTCCTCTTAAAAATACACAAACATTTCAACTCACTCCTCTACCAAATGCACATGTAAAATATTTCTTCTGTTTCCCTTTTAAAGCAAATGCCTCATCTCTTCCTCATGTTTGGTGTACATCACCTATAAATAAGCTTTTCTAACATTATCCTTTTTACTATCCATGTGTCCTGATTCTTTGACCACAAAGGAGGAGAGAAAAATGGGAAACATGCTGCTGCTTGCATCTTATCTAAGCACATCTTGATGCACAACGATCTATGTTTTACTGCTCAGGGACACACTCAAAGGGCCAACGCAAACCAGTTGGCTCCAGCATTCTGCCTCTCTTGAGCTGGGTAACACATACAGCAGCACATCACATTAACATAGGAAATCAGGCTCTGGACCCCCAAAGCATCATTAAAACAAGCCTTGACAGGACATGCCAAAGTGAAATGGCAGCTAGTGGACTGTGACTGTCAAGCAACAGTTGGGTGTCACTAACAAAGCTTTCTGCAAAACCTGCCTGTTGCAAACAATTGTGCCCTTCACACACTCACTTAAACTACCCAGAGAAACAAGTCATGTACACACTGACTGGGGCTAAACCACAGGTCTCTTCTTGACCTTCAGATATGTTAAGTAACACAGCAAGCAGTTTTTCCTTCCTTCTTCCCCAATTAATCCTAAAAAAATCTGACAGTTAACAGTCCTGATTTACTACATGAATCTTACTGTCAGATAGAGGTATCTAAATATTGCAGCTTTACAATATTATTTTGGAGGAAGAAAAAGCTCACACTTCTTTGTGAAACAGTCCATTTCTGCATGTGCATTTCCTCTTACTATTTATTGGAAAAGCTATGACTCAAAAGCCTCCTGATAGAAAGCTCATTCTCTAGTTTACTGTCATTGTACAAACCATAGATTTCCTATATCCTTTCTGTATCATGTACAGCAAAAGCATAAGATCCTAACACTTGCTTCATCTCCCACTGAGCTGAAGATACTCAGCCAATGAGTTAACATAATTCAGCAGCACACCTGAATTTCAACTCATTTACTCCTGTTGTGGATTTTTCCCAGTTTCTGTATCTACAAAGCAGGTGCTTTGTGTTTTTCAGTAAAACTAGCAGGAGAAAAAAGAGAGACTTTAAATATTCTTAAGGCATCATGTCTTATTTAAAAACTACTTGCAGATTGGCAGGCAGCTCGTAAAATATTTATGGGGCAGATTATAAAAGTGAAGTTGTAAAATGATCGCTATAAAGGTTTATAAAATATAAAACGGACAGATAGAAAGATGAAGAATCCAGCTGGAAAGCCAATGCCCACTGCCTCGCATGGCAGAAGCCAATTCACTGAAAAAAGATCCTTCAAGAAGTGAGGCAGGAAGATGCTTGCTCTCCCTAGACCAATGGAGACAATGCATCTGACTGTGTGCTGCAGGGTTCCATTGCTAGGTGGCTTGTGGCCCCTCAGCCACCCAAGGCATTCCCAAAATCCACAGAATGACCAAGGGAAGGAGTTTCCATCTCCTTGCTGGAGCCACCTGACTGGTCACAGCCCAGGCAGGTCATAGTCAAGGGACTGTATGGCTGGACCTTGGACATCAAGCCATCGGCAGTGATATGGGAGAGTCTTTCTACACTTTAATAAGCATAGGCCAAAGCATTTTGGCACACAGCCAAGGCATTATCAGAAATGCACATGGGAACAACATTTAGACCACCCAGCTGACTAAAGGAACCTCACCTTTCTAGGTGCAGTCAGTACCATTGAATGGCTTGTGCTCTGAAGCAGCAAGCAATCTCCCATCCCAGTCCTGCAGACATTTATTTGTATTCAATCTCTTAAATATGAGATAAATGAACTCTGGGTACTTCTCTGAAACAGAGACAAAACACTACTTGTTTTTCAGGGGTGAGATCTTCACTGAGAAGCATGCCTTTTACAATAAATCAACTTAGAGGAATGCATCCAAGCCATCTTCAGCTGTCATTTTACAGGAGGTTTGTGACAACTGCAAGGTTGTTAGTGATAATTTCTGACTATTCCAAGATGTTAAAGCAATAAGGCTGCATACATGTTGCAGGGCAGGACTGTGTTCCACCCAGAGGAACAAACAAACACTGATCTGTCCATCTGGCCAAGATCCTGCTGCCTCAGCTCATGTGTGGAGACAATAACTTGCTCAGAAAATAGATTTATCCTGGATAAACACCAGCAATACTGAGAACCAGAAGTCTACCTCTAGCAATTTTGGTCCATGTTCAGCATTCAGCAATCAGTTTTGCAGATTGCAATCATAGAAAATATCCAGTATCAAAAAAACAGGGAATACTCAAGGGACTGGTGTAAAATGAAGCACTTTTATATTGGAAGTTGTTTCCCATTTTTCTGTTCACTTTCCTCTTGCTTTTTTGATGTCTATGATAAGTTACTTCCATCGCACTGGTCCAAACTTCCACCTGGACTAACTTGTAGCAACCCATGCAGCCTGGGAATGTGACTGACTCAACTCCTCTATCTACTCTCCTACAACTTGGGGAATGGGATCAAAAGATTAGGAAAAGATCTTGAGATGACAAGCTCAGGCCTTTGGCTAAGTTCAAAGATATACTAGAGAACTGGCCCAAGAGGAACGAGGGCAAGTTCCCTTCCTAAGGGCTGCAGGCTACATGGTGTGACCTGCCTTCGACCTTCAAATCACTTGCACGCCTCTACAAAGGAAGTTTCACAATTCCAGTGGTGGTATTTTTAGCCTCTAGTCTTTCCTTGCATTCACAATGAATGACTCCCTGCTTTCCTAAACCCCTGCCAGAACAATTAAAAATAACTTAAACAAGGTAGTGTTTTCCCCTCTCGCAGGAAGCTCCCTCTGAAGTGATCTCTGTAAATCTCTCTAAAGAGGTTGTCGTGCTTTCTCATAGCACAGCTGATGGTGTCTGTGCCTTGAAGTCACTTTTCCCATTTCCCCCTCTCAGCTTGCTGCTACGTTAGTCTCTCCACAGCTTAGGAGGAAACTTGCAGAGGGTGTTTTCCAAGTCAACCATGTTTTCTCTATGCATCTCTCCATAGCCAGCTCATTCCTGGCCTCCTCTGAGAAGTATTTTCCATTGCTGCCCCTCTCTTGCTGAGGACATTTGAAGCATGACTCCCAGTGAGGGACTGCTTGTGCACTGGTGGTATAGGCAGGACAGATAACAGAAGTACTGGGAGGTTTAGGTTTGGTAAAACCATTGACAAAATGGAGGCTTGCAGAAACAACCACATGTACCAGAAGAACATTTTGCAGCCAACACTTTGAGCTGAGCAGCCTTGCTTGCTAATGCTGCCCTTAAGCATTCAACTCACAAAGCCAATTAAAAACCCTCCAACAGGAAAGAAAAATAATCCTTCTCCTTTAGGAACTTTGGGATTTGCATTTGTAGATTTCTCCCTGATTCAGGCCTCCGAGAGAGCCAAAACACAGCACCAAAGGACCCTGAAATAGGCAACGTTGGTGACTGCTGTGCTCCACAGCCAGGAACTACACCATGACCCAGCTACCTCCATGTAAGCCAGAAAACACAGTAAATGAGTTTCGCATCTCTTGTCCAGCTATGCTGCAAAACTGTCCCAGTTTAACAAAGCATGGGGGACATCTCAGTGTTCCTATGGTCTCAAACAGGTAACTGATAGGGATGGTGATTTCATAAGTCTCCTGTCAGAATGGGGCAGCATGCAGTATGGATACGCAGCTCTGGACTCCCACAGAGATATATCCAGCACTCCTGGAACATATTGTTGGCAAACAGCATCATGTCACTGACGTGTATGTCATACATTGACATGTATGCCAATGACATACAGCTCGTTTCACTGACATGCACGTTACATGCCACTAACTACCCTTCCAGTCCCGCCTGCCCCATCCCTCCCACCTCCCTTTCCTGGGGCAAATTACTTCCCTCGGTCCCTTTTGGTGACAAGAAGCAGAATTCGTTGAAGTGTCCAGCATATGTGATGTTTTATTATGAACCATAACATTGCTGATGTGGTGTCTGGATTGATCACGGGATAACATATCAGGCTTTTTTCCCCTGGAACTCCTGCTCTTGCTGGAGAGACACTCTGCTTCAGGTCACACTATTTCCAGTTGTTGAGATAGACAAGCTGGGTGCAGAGATTGGATGAGAAAGCGATTTCCAGGCCAATACAAGAAAGGGAGGGAGAGGGAAACTGTACACAGAAAACATGGAGGGAGGACACAAAATAGGAGCCAGCACAGGTGGGGACACTGACCATGTTAGGCTCGGATAGGCAACAGCACGCAGAGAAGAAGCCCACCCACAGCCATGATCGCAGCAACTGAAAAGCAAACAAAAAGGCCCAGGATAAGGAATAATCCCACTGCCCTGGCAAGGTGCAAATATATTAACAACATTTTTATATGCACTTCTTCCTTCTTATTGCAATTATTATCTGGACCTTAACATCCTGGGCTGCAAGAATTTCATGGCATGTGTTACTGTTGGGGAAAAACGCTTTGGGGAGAGCATATAGAACCTGGTCCTGCAAAGCAATTAACTAAATGCTTCCCATACTTGAGTACCACCATTAGGATTAATGGGGCCACCCATGTACTTAAACTTAAAGCATATGCCTTGGAGCAGGCAAAGTTACTTTTTCCATAAGCATGTGTGCGGTACACTTACAATTTTCTAAAAAAAAAAAAAGTGCTGGATGAATGTGAGCTCTGTTTTTGCAGACCCTTATGCATATACTCAACTCTCACAGCCCTTTTCAGGTCTCCTTGCATCCGTGAATCTTTAGACACACATGACGTATCTGCAGAAGCAGGACCTTAGGAGTTGTGTGAGTATTCAGCCTAAATAAACTCAAAATATGGGTGAGTTTACAGGCATGCTTGTGTCCATGACTTGCTTTTGAAGGCTGCCAAGCTGTGACTCTAGTCTAGTCAGAGTACAGGTTTGCCTGGCATCAGTCCTTAACCCGAGGCTGGCTGCACCTCAGTAATTGCCCTTTATCCTTGTCAGAGAACTTGCACGGAGAATTTTTCTGTTAGCAAATCTATTAAGCTAATTCATCCTGGAAAAGAACCTAGTGCAGAAGAAACAAAAGGAAGAACTTCAGTACAATACACAAGCAAGAGCCCAATGGTGCAGACACACTCTGGTTAAAGTCACCTGAGGGCTTCCCTCATCATTGCTCCTCAAATCATCATAACATGTCATTCTCAAAAAAACCAGACCCGTGCCCATCGTTATTTTAATAAAGTATAACTTACAATGCTTAAGCACATTAAAATAGCCTATTTAGACAAAATTAATATTCTGCAATGGCACTGCCTAAATTATGATGCAAAATAACTTCAGGCATGCAATGATTTACAGAATTATATACTGGATTATGTGCTTACTTAAATTAGAACTGCCAAAGAATGTCTCTCTAAGCTCCTTTTGCATCAGCAAAACAACTCAGAAACATTTTATAAACAGTTATGCTGGTATTTTTTACTCTAATTGACAATATTTTGTATTTCATAATGCCCCAGCTTCTGCAGTCACACTAATATAGAAGCAGCTCAGCCTTCACTAAACCTCTCTATTGATCCAAGTTAACACTGGAGGTTGAACACCCAGAATTACACAAAGGGAACCCAAGCATTATATATTTTGAGTAAATTTCGTAGTTTTCTGGGTTTAACCTCACAGGATTTGAGCATAGGGAACTGGTACGACTCCAGAAGACCACTGTGGCTGTGACAACTTAGCTCACATTTTTGCTAGGAGGTCCTTTCCCTCCAGGCATTTTTGAACAGTTGCTGCCACCAGATCTTCCCACATCACTCAGCATGCAAAGTCAGCGTTTTTGAAACAGTTCAATTAACCTGTAAAGCCACCACTTCCTTAAAATGAAAAGAGCTAGCTGTTTTCTTAAACAAAGAAAACTCTTTGAGCACCTCATCAATAACCGGGTTGCTCTGAGACAAAATGAGTTTTTCACTGAATGCAGAAGACTTCAGATCTCATTTGATCCCTTTCTGGGGAGGAAAAACATGCACAAGTGCAAGGGAAATATGCCTCAATGCAGCCTTACTCCTGCACACCTGCCACATAACTTGTCACATAAGTTGTGCCCTTAGGGTCAAAATACTCCGAAGTGTAACATTAGGGGAAACCCAAAGCTCTTAGAAACAAACTGAACTAGATCAGCAGACAACAAAATTCACTTTCCAGTCCCAGGAGCATGTGGATAGGTAAGTGAATGAACTACTTGGCCTGAACAGTTATGACAAAGGAAGATTTATTACTGCTGGTGTTGAAAGGATGGTTTGATTCAGCAGATAAACTACAAAGTATAAAAATCCTGAGTCAAGTAAAACTAGATGTTAAAACTCCAGCAAACCCACCATGCCCTCATGGCCACTACCTATACTGATGGCTCCCGGAAGGGGCAGTTTCCCCACCATCTCACTCCACACAGTACTTTCTCAGTCTAGAAACTGAGAAGTTGAAAGCAAATGGTTTCTAGAAGGGATCAAATGCTGTAGCAGGATAAGAGACCACCACTCAGTGAAACACGCCCGTACTTCTCCAGGATTTAAAGATCTTTAACCATCAAGCTGATCTGCATCAGGGAGCAGTAAGAGCTGAAATGAGCACTGTATGCATAAAAACTCTCTGCAGTCTCCTCCAGCCTCACTCAACAAACCAGCAGACTACAAGGAGAGCCTGTGGCTTCAGCAGGTGTTCAGGAGCCACTCCAATCTGCTGCAGGTTAATAGATGACATGTCCACATAACAGTGAAGGCTACTGAGAAAACACCTGCAACGTTAAATTCCATTTGTTAGGAGAGAATGAGGTGCTGAGGTGGCAGTGTCTCCAAGAGCCAAGATGGCATGAAACAAGGTGTGACTCTTACTTTGAAACCTGGCTGCAGATGGGCAGAGACAATGTAGAGGGACCTGGAGCTGCAGTGGCACCTTCTGCACCTCCGTGCCCTTCTGGCACTGCCCTGCTTCTTGGCTTGACCAACTCTGCTGCTTTTGGTTATCTCAGGCACACTAAACTGACACTCCTCCAGTTCTAGCAAAGGTGATCCCCACATTGTCTATGTGGTTTGCAAACCCAACTGTCCAGGGAGCAAACTTTAATTAACCTGTGCTAGGAGGACTTATCAACACCCTTGGCATAATTTCAAACCCTGGGCTACATGCTTTGTTAATGAAATGCATATGTATGATGGGCCCCAACAACTGTGCCTGCAATCAATGTAATTAATTTACCACAAATCTGCAGATGACACAGAGAGCATTTGGAATTAAACTACATTTCTAGTGGCTAGATAGATCTCAGGGAGGCTCTGCCATATATAGCTGTGGCTTTTAAGAGTTATAAGTTGAAGACTTGGAGTCATGATAAATGAGAGCCTCATTTGTTGCTTTTAATAAGCTGCTCTAATGGGATGTTCTTCAGAGGATTGCAATTAGAGACTGAGGGTGCCTGGGAAGATCTTTCTCATCCTTCACACAGCCTTGAGTGATGGCAACGATTGCTTTTGCATCTCCAGGTCAGGAGGCCAGCACTACACCTAGCACCTTGTGAGCAAGCATGCTTGCTTAAAACATCAGAGGAGCACTGAGCTGCTAGGATTACATTC